AATCTTTTTGTTTTTCCAAGAGTTGTTTAAAAGCTGAATTATTAAGGGGAGTTTGGACGTCAGAAGAGACCTCCCATGTGGAAATGCAGACAACTAATTAAACAGCAAACAAACACAGAAAGTGCATGTGGGTCAGATAAAGTCTACCTGAAAGTTGACAGCCAGGTGAAGACCAGCAGCGACCACCATACACCAACTGGTCTACTTTGAGAATCCTCCAAGGCTGTTTGACTCCTTTCTTCCTCTGATTTTGCTCTGTGGTTCTCATTCGGTAACACCTTTCCTTCTTTCTATATCCAACTTAATTTTTTTTTCTATATCCAACTGGAAGATTCTGTTCAAATGTTACCATTTCCCCAAACTTTTGGTCCATACTAGCTTATGAGAATACCTTCTTCAAACGCTAAGTGCCCTGTTCCAGGGGCAGTCCTAGGCATTTCACAGTCCCCCTAACCCTCCTTAAGCCTTAGAAAACCAAGATACTGAAGGTTTCTCAAAGTTAGTCGTTAACTGGGCTGCAACACAAGCCTGTATTGTTCCGGCCAGAAGAAATAGGATATTCAGGTTTGGGTCATTCATTGTGTCACAGGTGTTACGGGCAAAAGTTTAAAATTCCTTAACCTGACTGACAGGACCTTTCACAATGTGGCTGTCTCCTTCTGTGTCTTGATAATTTCCTTATATTTCTTAAGAGCCTAAACTCCTAACTCTTCTTTTTCTAGAACTTAGCATGCCAGCCCTCCTGCACTTGGCACATGTTGTTTTGTTTGCTTGGAATGCTTCTACCACTTCTCACGTGTCAAAGCCCCACTCGTGCTGATCTTGGATTAAAATTCATTTCCTTAACATCCCTTGTATATTCAGTCTAAATAAAAATTGCCCTGTAATCTCTTCAGTTACTATAACTCCAGGTAATTTGGTGGTCATTTATTCAATACATGTCATCCTCACCACTGTATGTGGAGTTCCTTCACTTTCAATATTTTCCCTGCACCATATAAAGAATGAATAAATGATTAATATTCTCTAATTCTTACAGAACATTTTAAGACTTGGCCAGGACTAAGAAAGCTTAATCTCCTAGCTAGTGAGAATTTGCATATTGTCAAACATGAAATTTCCACTGCAGAAGTGTTAATCAAGCTTAACTCACTTTCTAATAACCTTACCTGCAATCCTTTCCTCTCCTGTTAGAGTCACTGGCAATGCTAACATTAAATCCTAAATCAACTGGTATGTGAGAATCTTACACTGAATGTTGTTTTAATAAAAACAAAATAAAAGTGGATTTCAATGTTGCCATAGACAAAGATAAATTGATGACCCAACGAGGCAACTGAAAAATAAAATGGGAGACTGAATTGCCTAATCCTTTGGCGAGTGGGAGCTGCATTTCCTTCTTGGGTAGGTAACAGCTTCTCTAATCCAGCAGAAAATATCTACTTTGCTGTTCCACATAAATAAGTTACCACGATGTCTAAAAGCTTCACCCTCAATTCCAACTCTCCACTGAAGTTCCTATAAAAGAGATGCATCAGGTCCTAAATGTCAACCACACGCAGTGATCACCCAGTTGTGAGAAGCGATTCGTCACAGCATGAACGCACCTGCGTATAACTGGGATTTGTCTTCTGTAGATCTCAGATTACAGCACTGGAAATCTTCATGGAGTATTTTATAAAGCAATGCACCACAATGCAAGATCTCTTCTATAGAAGAGATTTCTTGTTCATTCCATTAAATGTGTAAACTACTAGGTAGTTTATGACACTGAATACTAACAATATATGCGCTAGAACTTTTTGGATTCTGAGAGAAGTTCACTTTCATAAGAGAGATGCCCTGACAGCAAACAAGAACCTCACTGGCCTCTGGGAAGTCGAAGAGCATCAGGGACTGTTAACCACACAAACGCAACTCCATCTAGAAGGGAACAACTAGCTGTGGAACAACGCCTTCTTACTCTACTCACAAACTTGCCCCTGACATCTTCAAGATTCCAGCTCCCAGGAAATTCAGCAAGACTCATTCACACCATGTTGTGTCTGAAAACGCCTATCACCAAACACACACATATAGTAACAAAACCAATAAGCCAAAGTATTCTATTATTAATAACTTCATGCTGTAATTTTAATAACCCAAATACCAGCTCTGCCCTACACTTGAAATAAAGATTAAAACATAAAAATAAGAACATTCCTTTTACCTCATTAAGTTTCCCTTTGTAGATAAAAATTAATCAGAAGCTTCTGCAATTAGGTGTCTAACATAGTAATTTATTCAAATGTAAACCATTTGCTAAATAAAGTTTACCATGGGCTTCCTACTTCTACCTCCCTCCACAATCCTGCTCTGCAACCAAAATTCTTAGTAGGATTAAGTCACCTCAAATAACAAAAACAGGCTCAAAATCCTATCACTATGAACTGCTATCGTCTTGCCCTCATATAAAGCAGGTGTTTTATATGATTGCAAGAGTATAAATTGTTAATTCAGTTACAGTATTTTCAAATGTTGGTGATCAATAGAGGGTATTTTCTTAATGCAATAACCCTTTCACAAAAATACTGATGACATTTTCAGCACACAACTTTAAAATCCTTAGATAAGCAGGCAAGGCCTTAGAAGGAAAACCAAGAAGCCAGAGCTGTGACATAGCAGGCTAAGCCTCCCCTGGGGCTTTGGCATCCCACATGGTCACTGGCTCATGTCATGGTACCTCCATTTCCAATCCAGCTCCCAGCTTCTGGCAGGAGAGGATGGCTTTAATCCTTGACCCCCCTGAACCCAAAGGAGAGACCCAAAGGAAGTTCCTGGTTTCAGATCAGCCCAGCTCCAGACACTGAGAGTGAACCAGCGTATGGAAAATCTGTGTCTTCCTAACTCAACATTTGAAAAGAATAAGTCTGGGGAAAAAAAATAAAAAAGAGCACTAAGTGGTTAGAAGTCTTCAGGTCTTAAGCATCTTTTTTGCTGGGCACTTCAACTCCAGCTTTCTCTGTATTACCTGAGCCTTCATGGAGCATTTTGAACCCCTTCCACTTTTCCTTGCCACTGCCTTTGGGCTGGCCCTCACTGATTTGCACTTGGAGTATCCCAGTGGCTTCTTAACTGAATTCTCTGCACACATATTTTATGGTAGGGATGGCCCCACAAAATAATCATGGCATTATATTTTATGACACATATGTGTACACAAAGCATTGAGAACAAGGAAAGGGAGCCTAGGCTCTTGGGAAAGCAATAACCTGTTTTGATCTGGGTGACAGTAACAGTTTCTTGCTCCTAAAATGACAGAGTACAACCATCACTGTTGTATCCCTAATATTTACAGCATCCACTCTATACATGAGTGAGTTCAATTCTTTCCTGGGTTAATCATCCAAGTATTACCGTATCTGCTCTGAAGAAACTGAAGCACACAGAATGAGGTAACTTGCGTGTGAACGCACAGCCCAGTCCCTGTGAGAGGCTGAATTCCAACCAAAGCGGTATGACCCCAGAGTGCATGCTCATAATGTCCACAATTCCCAGAAAGTGTGGACTACTTGACTTAGACCTAGTGCATGATTCACTGACACAGAAGAGAGGCTCAATCAAATTTTATGGGGAAAAAAAATGTGAAATACAGGCAATGTGCTTAAATCGAACTGGAATACCATGTTATCCCTCACCCAAAATAAATGTGAGGACACTGGGACACAGTGAGGGCCAATTGCATTCTGGGTTCCCTACGCTGACCAAGCAAATAGTTGTCAAACACAAACCAGACCGTGCCATTCCCTTCACCTCCTTGGTGAAAGGAAATATTGTTCCCTCACAGTTCCACATGGGTGAGCAAGAACACCTTTAGGGGCTGGGAGCCCAAGAGGTGCACTCAATATTTCCCACAAACTGTCTCACCCTCGTCCTGCTAGTACTACGGTGCACGGTAGTTAATTGTGATACAAAGATAATCTTAGAAGCACTTGTAACTGCATGTCAAGAAATTCAGCTCTAGGAGGCCAGCCTTCAGTGCAGGGTGGGTTAAGCAGCTGTCTGCATATGAACACTCTTTATCCAGCTTCTGTTGACACACTTGGAAAAGCGGCGTGAGAGCCCCAGTGCTTGGGTCCCTGCTACCCAAGCAAGAGTCCACCCCACTGGAGATTTTGGTTCATGGCTTCCATGGGTCGCCATTTGAGGAGTGAACCAGCAGATGGGCGCTCTCTCTCCAACTCGCCTGCTCTCTGTAGCTGTTTAGGATCTGTTTATTTATTTGAAAGGCAAACGAGCAAAACTGAACAAAAACCTCATGGCCACCATGATTTCTAAAACCACCCAGTCCATCTCTGCATCCTTTCAGGCTCTCCCTCTGCACTGTCACAAACACGGCAGGTCTACAGACGCAGCCCAAGCTTCCAAGCTACTTGGGCAGTTAGGTACATCCCACCCCGACCTAATCCCAGAGACACCAGTCCTTTCGTCTACCATTCTAGCCTGGACAGTTACATGGACCCATAGTGCCAGTCACATTTCCAAGCTGCTTTGTGCCTTCTGGACTTTGATACCCAGGCTCTTGTCCACTTGGGAGATATACACCCATCCTTCCAAAACCTACTTGGGGGTTGGGGTAGGGGGATGTGTGGAAATCTTTCCTCTGCTCTCCACAGCGTTTTACTATCTAGCAGTAACTGGCTGCTTTATCCAAGGGCTCCACTTTGTTTTCCCAGGAGGGGCCCTAGTGTTACTCCTCTCAACACCCTGAGCGCGCAGCAGAGTCTGGTCACACAGGTGAAAGCTGTTAATAAAAACCTAGAACACCATAGTCAACCAAGCCTCTAATGAGAAGACCTCATGGGCACGCCCTGAGAAGCTGAAACGAAACGTCCCCCAACTTCAATTTCTTCTAGTACGGCACAAATCGAATCCCAAGTCCCGGGCGGGTGGAGGCGGGGCACCCCATCAAGTGACGGAGGTCATGGGGGTCTGGGGCAGATGGGGGAGAAGGTACTCACCAGCTGGTGGAAGGCGGATATCTGTTCTCCAGCGTCTTGGTCCAGGGCTTGTACCAGCTAATCTGCTCCGCAGCCTTGCCCCAGAACCTCTCCGGGTCGGCCACCGACGCCGCAAAGTGGGTCTTGTACTCTCCACCCCCGCCCGACGACAGCGCGCGACAGCCCCGGGCCCCGAGTGCGCTCCAGGCGCCCGGGGCCACGTACGCCCTGCGGGCCGCGCCAGCGGCACCCCGGACCGGAGTGGACCCGGGCAGGGGTGCCCCGAGTCCCCCGGCGCCGGTGACTTTGCGACACTGCAACCACGACGGCTTCATGAGCGGCGTCCCCACCCCGCAGGCTGCGCTACCCTCGGCCGGCACTGGCGTTCGCTAGTTCCGCGACGACTGGGGCGCAAAGGGATGGACCCGGCCCCGAGGGAGCCGGCGAAGGGGGCGGGGGCAGAAATTCTGTGATGTGCCCGCTGCCCAGAAGTTTGGAAGTCACACTTTGAGTCGCCAGGAAAATCTGACCTGGAGTCACCGGGAGAGCAACAGGCTGGGTGGGAAAGCCGGGGCGTCATGGAGGGAGGTGAGTGGCGCCACTGAGAGAAATCCAACCTCTTCGGGCTGCGGCCGTGCCGAAAAATTGCCCTCCCTCGGATAAAGGGCCTCCCGACTTCCTCTACCCAAGCACTCTTGGGAGGAGACCAGAGGACCCCCACCTGTTTCCAAGCAGTTTCCAAATTGGCAGCCGGTGCGCGCGGCTCCTCTGGCGAAATCATGGTTGCCGACGGCATCGCCTTCGGCCTAAAGTGGAAACGAGCCACCCTGAGCACTGTCTTTCAGCTAGGGCCCCGAATTGCTATTTTTGTTTATTTGTTTATTTATCTGTGAAGCGCAGCCCGGTCCTTGATGGTAAAAACAAACAAACAAAAATGGCTCCAAGGCAAAGATTACTCCAGGATTTCCTAACAGCTGAGCGGGTAGGAGGAGTGGGAGGAGGTTGGGCCAAACTAGCGGGCTAGAGCCTGGGGCTGCTGGACAGGCCACAGGGGAAAGTCATGAAGAGGAAGGGGCCTCACCTGCGCACCTAACGCCCCACAGGATTTAGAGACCCAGGGCAGACAGAATGAGTTTTTTTTTTTTCTCTGCAGTTTGCCTCTCTGGAGTATCTGAATTTTCCTTTGTTTCTGAAAACAAAACAATACATGATTACGAGCATCTTTCTTGGGAGTGATGAAAACTTTGTAAACTTGATCATGATTCTGGGTGATGCGTGAGTTAGAGACAATACAGATGTTTAAAAGTAAAAGCAAATTAGAGGTAAGCAGAAATGGAATGATTTAAAGAAAAAATAACCAGGAAAATTAAAATAAAAACCTAGCACAAATTACTATCTGAGCTTAAAATTAATTCTTCAAGCTCTGCTCTAGTTCCCACATTTGTAAAAGTTGCATGTATTCTTTGGTCTTAAGAATTATGCCAAACTCATCCTATCTTGGTATAGCCATGTTTGCCACTTTAAATGTAAAGAGGTGTATTTCTACATCAGAGAAGGTTCTGGAATGTCACTGACCCTGAGGAGGATAAAACTAGAGAAATGATTCTGAAAGCAGGGAATGTTGTGGAGACAACGGCCAAGCAGAATAAAACTAAATCTAATGAAAAGCAGTGAAGATTTATTTAAATAGCCACCTGCACTATTCTGATTTAACTGTGAAGCAAAGCTGTAGACTTTCCCCTGCCAGCTATGATCTGCTCGAATAGAACAACATCACAAATCAAATGACAGGCGACAGCAGAAGAGACTCTCATCGCTAGAACTAGAAAGTGCTATAAAGTCATTTAACCTCATGACCCACTCCTTTCTACTCAGTCGCTTTTTGCAGCCTGCTGGTGTACACGTTCCATTGACCACAAATGATGTCCCATCCTGTTCCAGTGATTCTGACTTTAATAACTTGTTTAACGATTATGTGAGCACCCACATGGATAAGGTGGGTTGGGGGTGATGTGAAATAAGGAGCAGGAGAGCTCGTCATTGGCATCCAGTGTGTACACCCACTATGTTGAACATTTTTTTTTTAATATTGGCTTCTGTGATTCTCAGAAGAATACTGAGAAATAGAAACTCGATTCCCCATGTTTTCAAATAGTTTGGAAGTGGTAACATGCTGAGGGCATGCCTAAACAAAACAGTCAAACTTGGGCTTTGTGCTTGCAAGCCCCACAGCCCAGGATGCCCAAATGCGCCCATCTCCAGGTGGAGGACTTGGGAACAGTCCACACCAGTCCTGCAGCATCCTGCCACTCACTGTACAAATAGTATCTTTTTCTCTCAGTGCTACAACTGGAGTAAGATGGGAAATCCAGCTTTGGTGTCCATGATTTTCATACCAAGCTGATTATCTTTCCATAAATGTCCTCCAAGGACAAAGAGAACAGCAGAGAGGAAGAAACCAAACCAAAGAATGGAAAGGTGTGGATGGGAGAATGACAGATTTAATTACAGATTCAGGGTAAAAAAAATTACATCCTTAGAAATGTTGCTTTGAGGCCAAGAATGATAGTCTAGTGGCTAAAACCTCACGTTGCACCCCCCAACATCCCATATGGGAGCGCGTTGGGGTCCCAGCTGTTTCACTTTCCATCCATCTCCTTGCGTGTGGCCTGGGAAAGCAGTTGAGGATAGCTCAAAGCCTTGGGCCCCTTAACTCATGTGGGTGATCCAAAAGAAGCTCCTGGTGCCTGGCTTGGGGAGTGAACTGGCGATGGAAGATCTTTCTCTCTGTATCTTCTTTGTGTATCTGCCTTTCCAATGAAAATAAATAAATTTTTAAAAAGAAAAGAAAAAAGAAGCCTTGCTTTGGAGCTGTGGGTACCTCTGAAAGTTCAGAATTAAGGTGAGGATACAGAAACCAAAAGTAGTGATAAAAAGGCAGTAGGGAGGCAGAGTTCCCTTGCAAGACAGTTGCATTGCCACATTGCTGATCTGCTTCCTGGTCTGGACTGATCACTATATCCTCTCGTGCTTGGTAACTGTATTTACAACACATGGTTAATGCAAACTGAATTTCAGGTCAAGGGCAGGGCAGGAGAGAAGATACAGGTCAGCAAGGGGAAAGAGCAAGGGTTGGAGATCTCCTAGGGTTCAGGTAGAGAGAGATACCAAAAAGACAATAAAGGAGTAGGAGCTAGTCAGCAGGAAAAGGAGGTGTCGAATAGTGGCAAAAGCAGGTCAAAATCTCAAGACAGACCATTAGCCTCAAAGTGAAGAAACCTGTTGATTGATCACTAACCTATAAAGAGCTTAAAATAATTAGCCATTAAGACTCATTTTGCATCTTAGTACTGCCACGTGCAAGGTTCCAGAAGGGCACTGGCTGTCTCTGCTCTGTCCTCCTCTGAGGGTGCTAATCTTACTCTGCAGTGTTGCTGCCAGTTTAAATATGTGCAAACTGCTGAGCATTAGGGCAGTAGAAAATTGAGCTTATTTAGGGCAGCAGTAAAGCAACCAGCCTAAAAGAACCCTGTCCCCCAAAACGGTGATCAGAACACATCAAAAGAAATTATTTAATTTTAGGCATGCATCATAAACTTGGCACTGTTAAAACAATTACTCTCTATTGATATATATATTACACATGTATAGTATTTATATATATGAAGATTGAGTGCTCCCAGTCTTTTCAAGTATTTATTTTATAACAAATCAATGATGCTATGATTAGCATGCTATTCAAGAGGAAGGGAAGCATCATTGTTAGAATTGTATCTATAAACTACATCGGATGTTTTCCATGTTTTAACATCTCAGTAACACAAAGCTTAAGGATTGTGTTTCAGTAATCATGCATTTTCTGTGAACAGAGAATCTACTACATTAAGAAATTCCTTCAAAATTAGAAAACAAGACATGGGCCCAGCGTGATACCGTAGTGGTTAAAATCCTTGCTTTGCACACACCGGGATCCCATATGGGCGCCAGTTCTAATCCCGGTGGCCCTGCTTTCCGTCCAGCTCCCTGCTTGTGGCCTGGAAAAGCAGTCGAGGATGGTCCAAAACCTTCAGACCCCTGCACCCGCGTGGAGGAACCAAAAGAGGTCCTGGCTCCTGGCTTCGGATTGGCTCAGCTCCAGCCATTGCAGTCACTTGGAGAGTGAACCATCAGACAGAAGGTCTTCCTCTCTGTATCTCCTCCTCTCTGTATATCTGCCTTTCAAATAAAAATAAGTAAATCTTAAAAAAAAAAAAAAGAGAGAGAGAAAAGAAAAGAAGGCATGACCAACACCATGGGCTAGATCTGCAGCTTTCTCTGAGAGAAGATTCCTAATAACTGGAAAAAGCAACATGATGGAGAAGCTGCAAGGAAAGAAGAGTGCTGGGAGTAACAGGGTGAGAGAAGCTATAGCGGGGAAGGCAAGAAACTGGAGGCAGAGAACCTCAGGCCCAAGGGAAAGATGAAGTGAAAGAGTAAAGAGAATCTGAAAAAAAAAAAATGGTTTAAAAAAGGAAGAATAATCACAGGCATCCTAAAAGTTTTGCCTTTTAACAGTTCTTCTCATCACTAGAGTAAGCCAATCATTTTACTATCAAGAGAATAAGTAAAAGTCATTTAACATTACACATCTTAACATGAATAACTATAGGGACAGGTTTGGGCAGAGACTCTTCTTGTACCACTTGCTTTTCATATGAGGATTCCTGGTTAAGTCCTGATTCTGCTACAGACTCAGCAATCTGCTAATGTGTGCTGTAGGAGCTCGCAGGTGATTCACTCAGTACTGGTTCCTGTCCCCCACGTGGTGACCCAGATAGAATCATTCTCTCTCTCTCTCTCTTTTACACACACACACACACACACACACCCTACCCCTGCTTCAAGTCAAAACGTAAAAAGAAATGAATTTATGAATAACCATGGATTTCTCACTTCATGCATCCTACTGGCCCAAAACACATATTTTTGCCTCAGTGTTTGAAGAAATCAAAGTCTAACCATACTACTACACTTCCTGGTTGTAACTCTCATCCTGCTAGTTTGAGTATTAGGAAAACCCAATGAGCACACGTGCATTTGTTTGCACAAAGCACCTTGTCTGCAGCGAGCACATGCTGAGCTTTCAGCCTGCTGTGACATCACATATTTATTTGGATTTAGCAAAGCATTTCTGAAAACTACGCCAATTTTCATGGCATAAAATGTTTTTAAAACATCAAAAATGAAAGGGCATGTTGCAATGAAACTGTCTCTCCATGTACTAATTGTGATACAAACAAAAGGGTAGATGAAAAAATTATTTTAAAACAAAAACTATTTTGAAAATACAGAAAGA